CTTATTACAATCATAATAACAATTAACAAAATAAAAATATATAAGTAAAACCGAGATTACCAAGAATAGAAAAGGCAATAAACCTATTACAAGTATGCTAAAGACAGCGGTAAAATAAAAACAATTACTAAAAGAAGAAATTAATTTTTTACATCTTAAAATCCTAAATCACCTTGTGGTTTAGACAATAGATTACTATAAAGTTGGTATAGAAGTTATGAATGAAAATTTAGATATAGATATACACGGAAAATTGTGTCATATCCAATAGTGAGATAAAAGTGCAATTGCAAAAGGCAAAACCTCCCGACGTAGAGATTCGAACCCCTGATACCAAATTGAAGCATGTGCTCCATCTCAACTAAAAGCCTAAGCTTATAGTTAAATTGCACATTAATGGTTATATACTCAACAATGTCAAGCCCATATCATTCAAGGCAATAAGTATTGGAAGAAATTCATACCAGTGTTGTTGCATCACTGGTGCATTTCAAAAGAGAGTGTGGTGCAACTTCCTTTAGCTCATCACGATACCTTGCTGCATCCTAGGATGTAATGAAAGTGAAAAGGCAATTTAAAAATGGAAACTTAGGAGTTGCATAAGCATTAGAAGCAGAATAAACCTATCACTAAAAAAACCATCCTTAAGTAAAAATTGTGCTAATATTGCACAAAGTTTTTACAGTCTTTCCTACATATTGTACCATTAATGTGCCAGGAAAAAGCTGTTCATTGATTGAAAAGCATAGAAAGGGTGTTAGGATAATGTGGTAAGGTCCAATACGACTCATGACACTATTCAAATTAGGATTGGTAAGTATGCTATTTATTACACAGGAAACACCAAACATTCACACGCGAACAGCAATTCAAGACAACATACCTCAAACCTCTCGTCATCAATGGCCTCCTTCAACCGTCTCTTAAGCCGCAAAACAGGCTCTTCATCCTCAAATGATTTCAGAGAATCACGAAGCCTAGCAGCCTCTTCATAATCCTAGAAATGGGTATAAAATCAAATATCTCGAGTAAGACTTTAATTTTGCAGCACAATTCCATCCAAGTTAGCAAAACTTGAATTATTTCCACACTGATATAAGAAATGTTTCAGCAAATTAGTTACAGTTCTTCTAAGTAGGTGCAGTATATCTATAGATTGTGACCTCAGATTTGGAGGCAACTTCCAGTTGCTGCTTCAACAAAGCATATGTTTGGCTCCGCGAAAGGAACGAACTCCGATTCTGACTCTGAGTCGAACCCGGAATCGGTGAATCGGAGGCGCCGCTATTACTTCCCTCAGAAGTACAGGCAACGACTCTACACCTCTTCAAATTATCCCTGCAATTCAACCATTGCTTCTTATCCACATCAGCGAGTCTTAGACCGAGTCGAGTCGACCCCTGCCGATTCTTCACCGCACTAAAATCGGCCACCACTTTGAAACTCAGAGATTGCATTTTCCCTCCGATGATTCTTTCCGGGGGAATTTTCGCCGGAGGATTTTGCAATTTGTATGTATTATTCTTTGCAGAGCTTTTAGTAGCTTATCCATTCTCACTTGCTCAGCTGCAGAAGCTCTATGAGTGAAATGACGATTGCGTACGCGGGAATGAATAGCGTTGGCGTATGACCACTATGGGTACTATGGGAAATTCAGGAAGTTGATGCCAATGGATGACCGAATTACACGTGTCGTGGTATGTTTGCATTGGATGCGGATTTTAGAGAATATATTTTTTACATGTTTAAATTTATTAATGAGGTGTTTGGTAATTGGTAGGATGAAATTTAACTTCATTCTTACTAAATTTCATGAAATTATAATTTTATAATTTAGTGGGAAGGAATTGTAAATTTAAAAATTACAATTCCTCCAACTATAAAATTGTAATTTCTAGGGTCCCTAATAATTGCAATTTCACACTTTGTGGAATTGTAATTCCATAACAAATTATCATTTTATATTAATTATTACGGAGTATATTATTATTATACAATGATATTTTAATTTTTATTCACTTCTTCCTTTTCAATTCACAATCATTATATTCTTTCATATCAAACAATGTAATTTAAAATCCACTCTATTCTTTTTTCACGAAATTACAATTCTTTTTCTCCTAATTCATTCATTCGAACCAAACGCCCTGTAAACATTTAGTAATTAAAATATATTGATTTAACATTTATTAGTAGAAAAAATGTATTTTTAGTTCCTAAATTGTTCTTTATTAGATGTTTTAGTCACTAATTTTTATCATTGCAATATACACTCTTAAATCTTTAAAAAAAAAAATTTCTCTGTCTCATTTTATATGTCCTACTTACTATTCATTAGTCAGACCATGTATACTAATACTAAACTTAATATTATAAAAATTTGAATTAAAAATATTTTCAGTCAAGTCTCATTAATTGAACCAGACACAAAAAATGAGACAGATAGAGTCTAATTTTAACCCTTAAAGGAACAAAATTATTAAATTTTATTAAAATTTTACTAAGTTCATAGATATTTTAAATTTGTATCATCTTTATTCTTTAAAACTTTTTTACTTTTGACAATCTTCTTCCATAAAATTTTTCTATTCAATACATCGTCTCTATTTTCAATACACAAACCTGTTAAAATCATGTTTTTGTTTTATAAATAAAATATCGAGACTAAAGAATATTATAATTAAAGAATAAGCATTAAAAATACTAAAATACTCATGTACTAAGTAAAATTGTGATAAAGTTTAATAGTTTTGTTGCTCCACGAGTTAGAATAATGGTCATGTTTAGTGAAATAATTAGCCTATTTGTCAATTTTGACTTATTTGATCACTATTAGTTGTTTGACGTGGTTAAACAATCAATATGAGTGTTTGATTAACTAGCTTTACGTAACAAGTTATTGCTCCAAAATGCTAAATTTCAAAAAGCTATTCAAAGTAGCTTTTTTAGAAAATCATTTTGTATGTAATCAGCTAACAGCTAATTTACCAAACATCTTTATACAACCAGCTAATGCTATCAACTAGTTAAACTCACTAACTCAATCAACTAACAGCCATTTACTAAACATTCACTATAACTTTTTTGAAGAATTTGGAGTGTATATTGCAACAATAAAAGGTTAAGGACTAAAATGGTTAACGAGTAACAAATAAGAGACTGAAAATGCATTTTTTTCTTTTTAGTTTATTAATATTCAGTTGTTAATATGATCTCACATCGATTATACAAGAAATCGTAGAGTAGTACTTAAATTGGACCTAATCCTAATCTCTAATCTTGAACTAACTTTTATGATGAAATTAAAATATGAACTTTTTTTTTTTTTTGTGACTACAATCTAACATATTCGTAATATATGTTCAACACGTTAATGCCAATATCCTTGATTGGCTGGGTTTTTCTTTACTCTATTTTTTTTTTTAAGATGTAAACAATACAATGATTCAGGCGATGTCCAATTTCACAATATATTATTACGGAGTACGAGTTACCACACATGCATTGCACAAGTAGTCTAATGTCTAATGTGTATTTTTAAATTAGTGTTTCAGAATTTATCAAAGTTTCATTCAATATCCTGGCGTATATCAATACAATATTATCAATTTTTTTTCATAAAAGTAAATATTTTAAGAATGCATCACTATGACCTGTGGCAATAATAGTTTTATAAGGAAACACCACCAATCCATATTGTTGCTACTTCCGTCACAAATACACCAACATTTTTTATTACTCGTTTGAAGTCTAACTTTATTGACTTTTGTTAGGTTTGTATTTGTAGATTAATAATAATAATAATAATAATAATAATAATAATAATAATAATAATAATATTATTATTATTATTATTATTATTATTATTATTATTATTAGCAGAACTTATATTTACTATTGAGGGTGTGCATATTGTTGTGAAACTTGGTGAATCTTTGAGTAGACAGCGTATCATCTCGATTACAAGGCAAGAATATAATGAGTATAGTAAATTAGAGTAAATACCCAAAATGGTCCCTCAACTATAGCTAAATTTACAAATTGGTCATCGACTTTCAATTTTAACCAATTAAGTCCTTAACTTTGCAATTTTAACACGATTTGATCCTTCGAACACTTCTACATTAACGCCGGCGCCCGCGCCGTTATAGACGATCTCCAGAAGAACCCGCAGCTCTCATCGGAACACATGGAGGCCTCCAGGATGACGCTGCACCGGTTCGGAAACACGTTGTCTTCTTCACTCTGGTACGAACTCAACTACATTGAATCCAAAGGGAGGATGAAGAAAGGCGACATGATTTGGTAGATTGCTTTCGGCGGTGGATTCAAATGTAACAGTGCGGTCTGAAAATGCAACCCGAACCTTAAAAAACGACGATGGACCATGAAATTACATATATATCCTCAAAAATCACAGTCAACAAACGGTCAAATAGACGGAGGACTAAATCGTGTTAAAATTATAAAGTTAAAGACTTAATTGGTTAAAATTGAAAGTTAAGGACCAATTTGTGAATTTAGCTATAGTCGAGGAACCATTTTGGGTATTTACTCAGTAAATTAAAGAGAGACAACAAATATAGCGAGAATCATTACACTTTTATTAATCATCATTCATTCCAATCTATACAATATACATAATTCGTGTAAAACTAATAGTCTATAAATAACAACAAAATATTGTTATATTATAAATTTTATAATAATGTCCACATATATTTATTCACAACACATATAAGAACCTGCAAATTACATTGAGAAATAAAAATCTATGCCACAAGCTATAATCGAATCTATAAAATCAAGAGGAATAAATTTAAAATAAACACTCATTATACAAAAAAAAAAAAAAAAAAAAAAAAAAAAAAAAAAAAAAAACTTGTATAAGGATTCATATGGTAAGATGGATATATAACCATTCATCTATACCCAAGAGGAATAAAATAAAAATTCTGGATTTAAGATTAGTCCGTCAAATTCACCTAAGTATTAAAAAGAAAAGAAAAAAGATTAAAACAAAAATGCCATCATCTCCATCTCCGGTTCCTTGACTGCTTTAGGTGCCATCAAAGAGATTAATTTCCGACTGAGTAAACCCCCTTCAAAAACCCTATTCTACAAATCCCTTCATCAAAATTTGAACTTTCTAAAATTTCAACTATGAAGCGGTTGTTGAAAATCACATACCCAGAATTGTTTTTCCACAAATTCTCAGGGATTCCTACAAAACCCTCTGCCGTTGCATCGCTTGTCCGAGCCTCAGCGCAATCGTATTCTTCTTCTTCTTCTTCCTCTTCTCCTTCTTCTTCTTCTTCTTCTTCTTCGTCTTCCCAATACGTATGGCCGAATGTCGTTGGTCTCTTCGCCGGCAAGTGGACCTATGGGGATTCATTACTCGCGAATGATCTAAGAGACAAGGTCTCGAAGTTGAGGGATGAGCTGGTGATGCACAGCGGCGATGTTGAAACTTTGTATAAAGTATTGGAAGAGAAAGGAGCTTCCTTGTTTCGAAAGTACAGGGATGGTTCTGCTGTAGTTGAGCTCTTGACGCAGCTCCATTCTTCCCCACAATTAGCTATTGAGGTGAATTTCCTCACTCCTTTAATTTCCTTGTAATTGTCCAAATTCCATTTGAATATATTAATCGCAGTCAAAGCATTTACCTCTTAGTTTGGATTTTGATGAATGCTAAATGATAAACCATTTTGGACAAATGTCTAGTTCTAGTACATAGTTTCCTACAAGCAAGTATATTTAACTAACTTAATTAAAGGTGGTTACTTAAGAGAAAAAAGTTAAGTATTAGAAAAAAAGTTAATTAAGGAGGGATCTTTTTATTTATTTGAAGTGATCTAATACAGGTTTTCAATTGGAGAAGAGAAGTGGACTATATCAATCCTCTAACATCAGAGGAGTATGCCAAGGCTATTTCTTTGGCAGGAAGGTTGCATAATGTTGAACTTGCATCACAAATCTTCAGAGAAGCTGCTGACAAGCAAGTCAGGACAACTTCCATGTACAATGCGCTCTTGAGTGCATATATGTATAATGGTTTGGCCGTGAAATGTCAATCTGTTTTTCAGGATATGAAGAAGGAAGCAACCTGTTGTCCAACGATAGTAACATATAACATTCTTATTTCTGTATTTGGGCGGCTATTGCTCGTAGACCACATGGAAGAAACCTTTCGCGAGGTTAAAGATTTAAATATATGTCCTAACGTGACTACATATAACTATTTAATTGCTGGGTATCTTACAGCATGGAAGTGGGATGATATGGAGAAGACATTCAGAATCATGAATGCAGTCAGCATAGAGCCTAATTGTACTACATATTTACTGATGCTGCGGGGATATGCATATGCAGGTAGGTTGGAAAAGATGGAGGAAACTTATGAGCTGGTCAAAGATCATGTTGATCATAAGGAAATCTCATTGATTAGAACAATGATATCTGCTTATTGTAGAAGTTCTAACATGAATAGAGTTTCAAAGATTAAGGAATTGCTGAAGTTTATTCCAGACAATGAATACCGTCCTTGGTTGAATGTCCAGTTGATAATTTTATATGCAAAAGAAGATCTTTTAGAAGAGATGGAAACTTCGATCAACGAGGCATTTGAACGCAACACCTCTGTAACAACAATTGGTGTGATGAAAGGCATTATTGCATGTTACTTCCGATACAGTGCTATGGATAAGCTTGCTAATTTTGTGAAGCGTGCAGAGTGTGGTGGATGGAGAATTTGCAGGTCTCTTTACCACTGTAAGATGGTTATGTATTCATCAGACAAGCGGCTCGTTGAAATGGAAAATGTTCTTGATGAGATGGAGAAGGTGAATATTGTTTGGACAAAGAAAACGCTATGGATATTGTATAAAGCATACTCAAAATGGGGTGAAAAGAGTAAACTTGAGCAGGTTGCAGGGGTGATGTGCAAGCATGGGTATGGCATTCCAATGTCTGCATGCAGTTCATAGATCACCATTTGTTATTTGCTCTAGGGATGACTCGCAAGCATGTGGTGGCATCTTATAATTTATGTCACCATGAATCTCTGAACGTCCATGTAGTGCTTCTTTTGTTAGTGGAGGATTAATTCTATTTAGATACTCTCTAGTGTCAACCATATAACAGTGCGTTGGAGTTACATTAGGTTACTCTTTTTGATTCATTTTATACTAGTGTGAGCCATTGGCCACATGATGTTGTGCAAAACCAAGTGTTACTATCTGTAGTACTGAGCTCTATATGCAATATTCACATTTCAAAATAAGATTTTACCTTCAAGTGTAATTTGTGTAAATATGTTATTATGGTGACGGCGTCCACTTCCAAAGGAGTAGACAAGTAGTGACAAGTTAAATTTTTTGAGTTACTATACAATGGAGTTCCAAATTTGAATGCTCTATACTGCCTGATGATACCCTTTTTTCCTCAGATAGAAGTGACAAGGAGATTTTGCCTGATTTCATCTATTAAGTTTGCGAGCATTCTTAGTTTTGATGGGCAGTTCAGCCAGTTTTGTGCACTTCTTTTGCATGCGTCTTGGTTTTGTGTTCTCTCAGATTTTCTATTTTTGGGTATAAATTTATGCATTTGCTAAATAGCCTCACAGTTATTTAACCTCTGTTCCTGTTGTTTCTCCTTTCTGTTATGGCTTTATGTCATCTTAGTGGGTATGTGTCGCTGATTTTTTGGAATCTCTGCAATTTTAGGTAGTTCATTTTTGGTGTACTTCACGTTTTATCCCATGGCAGCTGCAGTTTGTGCCGCTCAGGCTCATGTATTCAGTTGGTGTTCTGTTTGGTGTCATTGTTACTTAATTATGGTAAAAGGGATGTGCTGAGGTTCTGTGTGAAATCAACAACTACTGTGCAGGAGAGTTACGAGATTTTTCTCCTTCTCATCAAAATAAATTCTGAATTCAAAGAAGATGTGGTATATTGTCTTTTAATTATTCTTCTACTCTCTGCCTTTAGATCCCTTTGTATAAGTTCTTATTCCTGATTTTGCATGATGGTGATAATGAATACAGAATGATTGTATGAACTTCAATTATCAAGGGAAATTTCAACTGAAAACCTGTATGAAGATTTTGAATTATAGTTGCTGAGGAGTGATGTCTTTTAAGGAATGCTAACTTTGCTTCAATTTAGTTGGAACTCTGGGATATTTGTCAGATAGTTTCTTTTAAAAAAAGTTCTAGCATGTTTGTTAATGTTAAGAGTCCCACATTGTTGAAAAAATAAGAGAGAATATATGGGTTTATAAGGCCATGAGTTAGACCAGCTAATTGGTTGGATTCAATCTTTTAGTGTGGTTTGGACTTCTAAAAATATTGAACACCAAAGTTGCGTATAATGAGTTTGTTTTTTTAATGACTTGTTGGTAGGGTGATGCATTTTGGGGCCGAGTTATTTTTGCAGAACCAAGAAGAAGCAAGATGAGCCAGGAGCGGGAAAGTTGTTGTAGAAGATTTGGAAAGCTTCTTAATTGGAAGAGATTCTTTTTTAAAAAATTATTGCATTGCTTTATCTATTATTTCATTGTTTAGTAAGTTGGAAATTTTAACAGGTTATAACTTATTCGCCCGATTTTAGTCATTCTATAAGTTGTGTTTTACCCCATAGAAAAGGGAACTAGTTTCAATGGAAGGCAAGTAGACTTTCATCCCAGCAAAGGGGCTAGGGAGTTTCAGGGCCTCAAGAAAACTCGGTTTGGTTCATCGTTCATTGGTTTTTTTTTTTTTTTTTTTTTTTTTTTTTTTTTTTTTTGCCTGTGACTATAGTCCATAACATAGGGTTGTCCTGCATTATCTAAATTGCATGGCTTGCTGTGTTTGTTAATCATCTGCAAATGTGTTTGTCATGATAGCAACTAAGGTCTAAGGCTGCAGGATCATCTTCTCAGTGCATGGATAGTAGCTTAGTTTATAATCATGGATCAACTGGCTGTGAGGCCATTAAAGATATATACATACTTGAATTTCTTTACATTTTTCTGTTTCCTCTCAATGGTAATTGGTAGCAGAATTCTCCTGCGATGAAGAAGTATCAGGCAGGACATTTTGAGATTCCAAAATATATAAAAGGAATTTAAATATTGCCCTTTTTATTTGTGGGGTGATGAGAGAAACCTACAGTCGTTGGGTAAACCTTGTCTTGTGACTCGCTGATTGGTTCAAACTAAGAAGGCTGAGATTCGAACTTGTGACCTTGTAGTTGCAAGTTTATATCCTTGGTTGTGCATTAAAAAGAAATCTACATGTACATAAAGTCATTGTTTTATAAAGAGTTAATTACCGAAATGGTCCCTTGACTATAGCGAAATTACCAATTTAGTACTTGACTATTTTTTTGGTCAATTAAGTCCCTCAACTTAAAATTTTTAACTAATTTGGTCCTCCGTTTGTTTGACCGTTAGTCAACCGTTAACTTGGGACCAAATTGGTAATTGTGTTATAGTCAAGGGACCATTTCGGTAATTAACTTTAGGGGTGGACAATTTGGTTCGATTTTCCTGAACTAAACCGTACCGAACAACCGAACGGTATTGGATTCTCGTATACCGAACGGTTTGATAAAAAACAAAACCGAATACCGTTTGATTTTTTTAAAAAAATATAATAGTAATAGTAATAATAGTATACCGAACGGTTTGATAAAAAACAAAGCCGAGTACCGTTTGATTTTTTTAAAAAAATATAATAGTAATACTTAATAGTAATAGTAATAGTAATAATAAATCAAACCGAACCGAATACCGTTCGGTATACAAGAATCCAATATCGTTCGGTTGTTCGATATATTACCGAACCGAACTAGTTCGGTTTAGTACGGTTCGTTTCGAGAAAACTGAACCGAGTTGCCCACCCCTAAAGTTAATTATCGAAATGGTCCCTTGACTATAGTGAAATTACCAAATTGGTCCCAAGTTAACGGTTGACTAACGGTCAAACAAATTGAGGACCAAATTGGTTAAAATTTTTAAAGTTGAAGGACTTAATTGGTCAAAAAAATAGTCAAGGACTAAATTAATAATTTCGCTATAGTTAAGGGACCATTTCAGTAATTAACTCTTTTATAAATACATAAATTTGATTCATAGAAGTCACATACTATAGGTATATAAATTCACTATTGTAAGTATTATGGATCATGGTTCCACAATGTGAACCACTAATTAATATTTATTTTTAATATTTCGAAGAAAGATTATTTTTAATGTACTGAAGATTTATTTTTAGATAGCATACTTAAAAATAACATTAAATATATTAAAAATGAACATTCATTATACTACAAAATGAACTTTTACTATACTAATAATGAATATTATGTTAATGGTCTATATTGTAAGGTGAATTATGATTCATGGTATAATGATGGCCCAATTTGTACCAATAATCATTTACACATTTTAATTTTTAAACACTTTGATATAAAATGAGGTAACTTTATCTATACATGTCCTTCATATGGTAAGTCTTGAGTAGTATAATTTGATTTTAGAATATGAATAAACTCAAATCAATTTTTGTATAAAAATCCTAACAAGTTAATTCTTCATTTTCTTCAAATGTACTAACAAATGTCAAGAATTTTGACTCCATTTTTTACTAACTTCACAAAATTCTAAAAGTCTTTGTCCTACAAAATCACAAAGGAGTTAATTTATTTGCATCCTTGTGCATAACAGACGTTCTACATTGGGGTATGTCTTTATTTTTGGTGGTGATTTTGTTTGTTGTAGGTCATCAATTCAGTCTGTTGTAGCATTGTCTACAACTGAAGCAAAATACATGATTATGACTGAGGTAGCTAAAGTGGCTTTTTGACTTTCAGGTTTGATTAAAGAATTGGGTATTGAACAAGGTAGAGTTTAGTTACATTGTGATAGCCAAGTGTCATCTTTTTAGCTAAAAATCAAGTATATCATGCCATAACCAAGAATATTGATGTAAGGTTTCATAAGGTTAGAGAGTTGGTTACTTTTGGTGAGATTTTATTGTAGAAAATTCATACCAATGACAATGCAGCGGACATGTTGACAAAGGTAGCAACCACTGACAAGTTCAAACATTGTTTGGACTTGTTGGGTGTTTCCAGATGCTATTTGAGCATGATTACCCCGATCCATAGTGCATTGGTATTTTTGTAGTTGTTCATGTTTAGAGTTGCATATAAATATGATACTTGTAACCCTCCTCAATCCCGTGGATGTAGACACATTACCGAACTACGTAAATCTCGCCTTCTCTACTTTCTGCCATTATTATTGTTTCTTGTTCTTGTTATCTCAACAAGTTCTATGACAAACAAATGAGAAGAGGGGGAGTAATTTGCAGTGGAATATAGATGGTTAATGACTTCAAAACAACCACACTTTATCTAGCTATTGCAGTTCAATGCAAGCTTATTGAAAGCCATCTAGAACTTCTATATAAATGCAGGCCAGCATTCAGTAAACTCCTAGGATGGTGTTAATGGAAGATGCAAGATTTGAAGACTGTTCTATTCCATGTATAAGTGGCTTACTTGGATGCGAAAATCGCTTCTAAATCTTTGTACAATCCTCTTGGTTTTGTCTTGAAATCTGCTGAAGAATCATCCACAGATGAGCTCCCACTCCTCTTTGTGTTCCAGACGTAATCACTCCATCTCGTCCTGCTGGTCGAGGGATCAGCCGGGCTTCCTTCTCTGCTGAAGCTCGACTTTGCTAGCTCCCGTATTTGTCTTAGCCACGACTTCTCGCCCGAGTTTCTAGTATCTGTACTCCTGCTTTTATCGAGAGTAGAAGGCGTGGTGGTGGTTCCCGTGCTCTCGCCTTCCCCGCCCCTCTTAAACAACGAGCATTTCGTGTCGAGCTTTTTGATGAGTCTTTGAGGAAAGAAGAACAGAAGGAACCCTATGGATGCTGCTTTAAGGCCTAGACAGAAAGAGTTCTCAGCAGGGTCTAACCGCTTTATCTGCGTGTATAAAGCGTACCATTCGTTTGCCGTTTCTGCTAACAACGCGATTATGCATAGCCCGAGCATGAAGATCCCGATTCTCGTCTCGTCTTTGGCTGAGAATTCCCACTCCAAGAGGACAATGCACATAGCGAAAATGGCAACTTCACTGGTGACTGATAGGATCTCAACTAGCTGCACTTTCTTCTTTATGAAAGGCTTCTTAAGCACCATGAAGAAGAGCTGGAAGGCCGCGAGGGAAAGCATGAGGATCGTGGGCGTCTTAGACGACCAGTTCTTTAAATAGGCGCTCGCCACGATCCCGAGAGCCACGCGTTTTGCAGTGTCGAGGAACGTGTAGTATATCCTCAGGATCCCGAAGAGCTTCTGGATGAAAGGAGCCTCAGCGTCTTCTGTTTCGTCGTCCGATGCAATGATTCTGTCCCGACGCTTGCTGAGATTCCCCCCTCCCGCAATCTGAGACAACATGTACTTTGGCGGTCCCCTTAGATCCTCGAACAAAGGACCGAAAACGGTTAGATACGTGGAATCGCGCTCCTCTTTCCATGTCCACTGGCCTCGTTTTCCAGGGCCTAAGGTTACTCTAACTAGTTCTTGATACCAGTGAAATTTCTGCCCTTCTTGATGAACCTCCTTGTATTGAAGTAGCTTCCCGCAAGTTATACCCACCGAGAGGAACAAGAACAAGCCGAGCAGCAGAAATGATACTATGCCCAGTAGCAGAATGCCAACGATTATACCCGAAGACTCTCCACCTAGAATAGTACAATATCGATGCCACAATTAGTCTCGAGTCGTTATTCTCTATATCTACTTGGAGCCCTTTTTGGCATTTGTTTTTGTCTATCAATTGGCATGAAAATGGATACATCGAACAAAAGAGTTTAGTTAATCAACAAACGAGACGGGAATTGAAATACCTTTGATTAGAGCTACCGAGGATTTGCAAACACCGGGTAGTGCAAGACTTAGAAGAAAAATCTCGAGCCTTGGAAATATCAAAGCCCCATAGCTCCACTTCTTTTTCGTGTCCTTTCGGAATTTTAGAACGCAAAGGAGCAAAGCATGAAGCAAGAGCAAGCCGCCAAAAATTAAAGCTAACCAAAACATCGTTCTATCGAACTCCCTCCATCTGAAAGAATAGAGACGAGTTATAGCTATTTCAGATGACAAACATTTTAATAATCGAACTGCAAAAAATACCCGTTTGAATTTTGTGGATCCCAGATGAACTCAGCTTCGGGCAAGACATTGTGGCTCTGCTAGAGAGAAACGAAAACGATTCCTGTCAGAGGAAACAAAAGGGAAAGAACCTAGGTTTTTGTAAACATAATGTTTTCTAACCTCAAATACTGATCCATATTCTATAGGGGTTAACGGTAACCCATAAACCGTTGGACCAACGCCCACGTGTTCTAGGTCTGGTTTAACACCACGAAAAAGTCCAGAATCATGTATTCTCGAACTATATGAATCACCCGATGGAGAACTCGATCCCACCATGAACTGCTGCATTTCCCCGGTTTCCCACGGGAGGTTAAAATAGGGAACACTCCACTGCAGGCCTCTCGCAAATTCATAGAATTCAACTGGCAAGACAACCGGTAACCACCTTGACATTGCAAAAATCTGTATGTGGCTTGCCATTCTCTGTCTCGAAAGACCAAATGATAAAATATGAGTATTCTCGATAATAGACATCGAGGATCTAACAGTAAATGTATCGACATTACATTCATTGAGATCGTGTCATCTATATATATAAAATGCTACTACTAATAGAACCTAGCTTTCAAATCATATCAGGACGAGACATAATTGCTTTATTTCTAATAGAAGTTACGAGAGAATAGGTACTTACGAAAACACTTCTTGTGGGTTCAGACGTCAAAAGTGAAGTTGGTCTCGAGAATGCACCAATAGACTGAAGGCTAGCAGTCGAAACGGTGAGAAGCCCCGCAACAAAAGCTGTCACTGCAAAAGCGGTGGTTGCAAAGATTGAAAGAACCCGGGATATCATGGGTACAGAATCTGTAAAAAGATATATTCACCGAGTTAGAGAACCATAATACAACAACAAAAGCTGGGTGGCACAATATAAACCGTTAGATATAGACGTTACAGTGCTTCAGTTGGAGAATATTTGATGGTAGGTTCCTATTTCCCGCAACATCCTCTGTAACATTCTCGGGCACGCTGATAGATACTAAATCACCATCCGCTTGCAAAAAAAGACCATACGTGCTCCGACTTATTTCCTGAAAGCTGGGGAAAAACGAGTCACTATTTCACTAAACTATTAAATTTGTAACAAACCCAAAGGGTAACTCAAGTGGCAAATGACCTGCTTCGTGGGGACGATCCCGGGAATCAAAATCCCGTGTGAAATACTCGAAACTGCTTACCTTTTAACTTGTCCACCGCTGATAGATATCAAAGATGAATTAAATCCAAAGACGGGCTTGATAAAGTTTATCACAATAGGAATCTGCTTTTCACTAGTCCTCATCTTAGATGTCGTGCTCAACCTTACAGTAGGTCGTTGAGTATCTGAAGGCCCCAAAAAAAATATTTCAGGTCTCCAAATTATGATAAGACAACAGAAATTAATTAGAGGTTTTTCACGAGGCCATAATACACACCATATAGAAAAGTAACCGGGGCAACATAAGAAACCGGGGTTCCCTGTCTGCTTATTACCGAGTTTGAATCAAAGCTCACTGTGAGTATGGCCGTCTCGGATATATCTTTTAGCTAAAACGGTGGAAAACAATAAGACAACAGCAATATACCTTATAATATTCTAGTAAATACAAAACGCTAATAAAGAACATTATATTACCTCAAAACCAAATCTACGCTTTCCAAGGCTTTTCCCGTTAATAGGTGTAAGTGATCCTTCACTCGCGTTAAGAGAACCCAAAATTTGAGTAGACGAGTTAACTACTGGTTCGGTGAAGTATAAATACACCTTAAGCTTGTTTGCATTATTAGTTGCGAGTACCGTCCTAGTTTTTGCATTAATTTCGAGTAGCCTTTCCGGTATGTGAGTTCTCAAGTTCACCAAAACACTTCTTCTATCTATACCAAACATCATATGTAAAACATCATAGTTTGATAGACAATATAACGAAAAAAACAACATTTGAAAAATTCTATGCAACTTAAAGAAAATTGACTAACCATAATGTACAACTAAAGTTGAATTTTCTGTCCTCGTAAATTTGTTTCCAGCAGCGTCTGTACAGAAACTTTTACCCGTCACTATGGTCACCTTTCCAAATTGAGAACTTGTCGGCAAACTCACAACAATAGAAAATGTGAGGTTCGGGTGAATGACACGAAGTGTACTTGGCAAAACTTGGCCCGAACCATAGACAATAAGCTACAGAAAAGAACACTATGAATAGTAATACCACTTGCTTTAGCGATATACAGAACTTTTAGATACTAAATTGTGTATAACAAGACTTACATTGCACGAATTTACAGAGGGGCATCCAAAACCGCAAGGTTCGGTGAAGGATATATTTACGGTAATATTTGAAGCATTTGTAAAAGATGTTGGGGCCATAAGGTAAGCTGTAGGGGGAACTGTGTCTGAAAACACAAAAAAAAAGACATCAATAAAGGCATAGAGCGATCACGATCCATAGAATATTAAAAGGTGTATCAATTGAATATAGATCGAAAAACAGCTGCTCAACCAACCAACTGTCCAGTTGTGGCTAGCGCACCCAACGCCACGAGACCCATTCGTGCAAGCTTCAAAGGTATGAAATCCATCCTGCAATGCTGCATAAGAAACCATCCCGCCATGACAATCCGAAGGTACGTGGTCATCCAGCTGCACTCAACACAAAACTTTTAATAAAAAATATGAAATTTCACAGCATGCCTTACAAGGAAAACTTATTTAGACATAAAACTTTTAATAGAAAAGCACTTTTGCTCTTGTGCTCATTACTATTGTTGGGCGGAGGCCAGTAAAGGGCCAAGTTCAGCACCCTGCCTCTCGAAAATGTGACGGTATATAAGGAAATAACGTTGTGTCTTCGCTGTTAGCTATAACTTTTGGCGTAGTGGTAACCGTTTGATCCTAACAACTGCTCTTACAAAATCAACATTCTACAATACAGTGTACCATATCTTTCACTTAAAACAGTGTGAAAAAATTCACAAGCAATACAATTGATTATGCAATTCATGTTGGGGATAAGCCAGAATATATAGGAAACTGCTACTGATTTCCAGTTCTTCGTGCACACAAAATTAGCAAAGGTGGAAGTTTATCTAAGCAATGCAAAGTAGGGAAGTCCAATTATCACTGGAAACCTCAAATTCAAAGGCAATACAAGAAAAATTAGAAAAAAAAAAAAAAACATTTAATGAAATTTCACAGAGACAGATACATATATATATCCTGCATGAAGATTCAGAAGATGACCTTGCAAGTTGTGGGACAATCTTTACAAACATCACTGTTGTTGCCTCCAACCAAGACTTGAAAAACAAATTTGGTTGAATTTTGATTTGAAAAGGGTGAAGGGGTCTTCAAGAACCTAAGAGAGACCTCGGAAGCAGCATTAGGTTGAGCTCTCAGACTCAAAACAAGACAAACCCAGCAATGCAGAACCAACCATGAACTCTTGCTAAAAAATCCCATTTCAGCAAAAAATGGGATTTTTACATGTCTCAATTTTCAACCAAATTTGCTCTTAGCTTGCATGGAGGTGTGGGATATGATTTGGAGAAATGGGATTTTAGTGGCTGGTGAAGGCTGTGAGAGGATATAAGACATGAAACTGATAGTGCAACGCAGTGTGTGCTAATTAATGAAGATAAGAGAGCATAAAAAATGAAGAGAGGTGATAGGGACATTCATTGATGACAGGCCTATGAATGAGAGATGATTTTCTGTGCGTTTGAAAAGTTGTATTTATTTTGATGTGGTCCATGTGGGAGTTGATAGATTGAAACATATATGTCCAGGAGTAAGAAGGATGGCAGTGAGATGAGTACACTACACACTCTGACACATTTGACAATATTTAATTTCAAACCTAGTTAATTACCTATTTCAATTATTATTAAACTTTTACTTGTATGTTGTAATTGTTGGACGGAGACGGGTAATGCGCTAAGTCTAGTAATTAGTGGTTAGGAGATTGTTGGATCGAGGTCGTGGCTGCGCGTCAGCTAGAGAGTGGGGATTGGTGAGAGGATTTCAGATAATCGCGAAATGGAGTAGGTCACGGTCTGAATTTTGCGTTAGAGAATGACAGAGAGAACCACGGGATCCATTAGGGTTCGGTGGGTGCAGACGAAGAGCCCACCGAAGCCGGAGGCAGCCGTCACCGCCGGATGCGGCGGCTTGCCTTTCATTATAACTTTGCCTCCTAACAACGGAGCTATGATAGGAATGATCCATATGGGGAGAAGTAGCCCTTGTTGTGGTGGTTTGCCTTTTAGCAGCGCCGTCCCCGGTGTCGGTCGCTTTGCCAGGTGGCCGTCGTGGAAGAATCTTCATCCCTCTTCTTAGTTGGCGACATCAGTTCTGGCGTGGATGTAAACAGAGTGGTTAAAATAAAAAAAACGGTGTAGATTACTTTGTTCTCATCACGGTCAGGTTCTAGCTGAGAACAAAGTGGCCAAGATCATCTGCACTAGCAATGTTCCAATTTTGAACAAAGTGGCCAGTGATGAAGATTGGAAATGACAAAAATGCCCACGCTAAATCGGAGTTATTACCGGTTTCTCGACGGAACATGGCCGGAGGGAGTTATTTGACCAACATTAAATTAATTAGAGGACCAAATTAGATGAATATGGAATTGAGGGACTACATTGAGTTCACTAACAATTGAAGGGCCAAATCATTGATTCCCCATTTACTTATATATAAGTACAATTATACTGCTTTAGTTTTAAATTTCTACACATTTGCAATTACTTTACTTTTTTAATGCATCTAAAACCATTAATTTAAAATAACCAGCTTGGTTGGCGTAAGTGGCCGTGCACTCTTGTCCCATAAGAGAGGTTGGGAATTCGAAGCCCTTCTCGTATAGAAAAGCTAATCTGGCCTGGCTAGTGCTTTGTCCCTTAATTGGGCCGGCCTGGTGCGAACGAGAATTAGTCTAAGTATGGTACGGGCTTAAACGTGCCCCTACAATTAAGGCATGCTCAGGACACCTCGTAGTCTGAGAAAAAAACCATTAATTTAATATGATATATGATTATATAATATAATTCTTAATTTTTAGTACACCAATTATTGAGGTCTACTTAGCACAAACATGATAAATTTTACTATACCCTAACTAATGAAACCTAACCAATTTTAGTATATGAGATTCTAGTCTACCCTAACTAATGAAACCTGTGTCTGACCAAAAAATTTTACACCAACTAACATATATATGTTCTTACATTACCTTTTGTACCTTCATTCTGAGCCAGTAACATGCAATGCACTCATTAATCACATGAAGGGACAGCTATTCTATTCTTCAAAGGATATGGTAGATAAATGATAACCAATTCTATACACAGATCTCTTCAGTATTAATTTATTTTCCACTTATATTCTTAATTAATTAATAATCGAGAGCGATGGCCGATGGTATAACAATAAGAAAGTTTTAAGCGAAAATATTATTTATATTTTTGAGAGTGTATATATTATTTGTCTTATGACCCTTTTGTCACATTTGAATCTAATAATAGATCAATGTGTTAGGGAATAGAACCTCATCTTCCATGTTGAGCATATAATATATAGAAACATAAATGTGCAGTCCAACTATTAGTTTAAACTTTTAGTTGAGATGAAACACATGTTTTAATTTGGTATCAGAGCTAGGGCTGGACACTTCGATCTTCGGTTCGATATTTTTCGGTCTTGGTTTCGATTTCAGTTTTAGAAAAGTTGAACCATTCGGTTTAACATTATAGTTCGGTTCGGTTTCAATCGGTTTGGTTTCGGTTCGGATTTAATTCGGTTCGGTTTAAGACTTTACGAGAATTACAATCATCAAATTTCAACATTTCATAATTTTCCAAACATACTACCAAACAATACCTATTCACATAATCCACATCTAAACTATAAACGTTATATAACAAAATAATAATTCAAAGTTTAAACATACTACTAAATAGTAAATACTAACATCACATACTAATAGCAATCTAATTACCAAAACATCATATACTTTGAAATTAGAATCCAAAGTTCAAAGTTCAAACATTACAAACATGAATCACGTAGTTCAAACTTCAAATCCAATGTTTAAAGAGTACAAACATGAAACATCAAATAAAAATGTTCAGTTGGAATACTTTTATTGATATGATGAATAATCATCTATCTGTATATTTGATATTAAAAGAACAAGTGTCAATTACTATATAGTTAATTTTTGGACACAACTAGTGCACTCGAAATATATTCCAGTACTAGAAAATAATTATAATGCACTGGAAATCAAAATTATAATGCACTGGAAATCAAAATTATAATGACTGTAAAACACATTAAATTTATAGAAAAACATGAAACTAAGGAAAATACTGAATATTGTAAATATAACTCAAGTTATATATAATTGTGAGGTAAAGAACAATTGCGACAAACAACAAAAGTGCAATGTAGAAACAAGCTATAAAGAAATCAAATAAAAAATTTAAAGTTTGGTACCAGTAAGAATGAGAACTGAACAGCGGAGCAAGCATCAAAGAACTTGGATTTATTTCTTTTATTATTATTATTATTATTATTATTATTATTATTATTATTATTATTATTTATTAAAAAAATTATATAGCATTCAGTTCAATTCGGTTTTTGCCAAACCGTTCAGTTTTGGTTCGGTTCGATACTAAACCATTCGGGTTACAAAACCCCGAACCATTCGGTTTTCTATTACTAGTTCAGTTCAGTTCGGTTCGGTTTAAGTGCCCATCCCTAATCAGAGCCATGGAACACATGCTTCAATTTTCCACAAATAAGTGTAGAACCCACTATTAGCTTAGACTTTTAGTTGAAATGGAGCACATGCTTCAATTTTCCACAAATAAGTGTAGAACAATTAAGTTGATCTAAACTTGTTTATCTTAATATTTTGCCTATTATTAGTCACAAAGCATAGTTTATTTGATGTACAATCTCATTTAGTAGTTATAAATTTCGCTCATCATAAAAAAAAATTAAATTAAATTAAATCGACATAAAAACAAACCATAAATTCGATCACTTCTGTGGACTGAGTAGAAGAACACATTAAATCCATGAAATAGTATCCCACTGTAGTTTGCGGCACGTACACACTCAGTGTTGGGTCCAGCATGTTTTGTATACATGCCCTACAAATTAAATGTTCATTATAATTATAAATAATGTTCATTATGCCCACGTACAAGGTATTGCTTCAATCATAACAAATGTTCTTCACGAGTACGGGTATGTAAGAATCCAGTTGTTATAACATGGATCAGGGTTCACCTTGTAAGGTGAACTCGTGTCTAAAATACACAATTTACATACTGAATGTTTATAATTTAAATACACAATTTACATACTAAATGTTCATAATTTATCTTTTATAAAATTGTAAACATTTGGTATCACGATTGTGGCAAGAATCAATCTTTTTTTTTTTTTTTTTTTTTACCTCAGCTCAATTATAGTACCATTTTCACTATTCCTTTTTCATTATTAATTTGATCAAATTTTAAATCAACCAAGTTTAGTTCAAAATATTTCACATATACATTTAATTCTATTTTTAACTCTTAACTGTTATGACATTTTATACTAGTCACTAGTCATATTTTTTTATTTTATTTTTTTGAATGAACAAATTGTAATTCTACTCTTTACTTCTCTCTCTCTCTCCCTTGATCATTTAAACTTCTGCTTTTGTACGAGATGTGTTGTTTTTACCTAATCTTGTCCCTACCTAAACATAATCATAGACATCTTAGAACCAGACCTGTTGGGTGCTTTCGTTAGCTTAATTTTGATGTGGTCCTGTTTCCTTCCCTGAATATTGTCGAGTATGGCATGATTATTTGAAATAACTGGGTTGTAGGAGTGAATAAGTTGATAAATCAATTTATATATAAAAATATAAATAGAATAACAAGTTTAGAATTTTAGAAAATAATCTTAAACAGTCAACGGTACAAAACAACATATATATATATATATATATATATATATATATATATATATATATATATATATATATATTCACTTTTTTTAGAAAATAATATTTAAGTATCCATTACTATATAAATTTCTAACAAAAAGCGTGAGAAGAGGCACCATTGCCCACATTGAGGTGATATATATACATTTACTGATTTACTTTATTAATTTTTTTTGGGGGGTATTGAATTTCTTTTGTGATAATTGATTATTCTACTGTCATTGTAGTGCATACTAGATTCTAGTTTGTGCAAAATTAGAATTCCATGAAGCTTTAAGAAAGCTTTATGAAGTTATATGTTCAATGTACATGCATATATCACACAATATATATAATAGATTGTGGTGGGAATTAGGGGGAGAACATGCGTATATGGCAGGGGGTATGGAAGCTAGCTAGCTTAGCTTAGGTTGAAGAAATAGATAATGTTTTTCTGGCCATGCTTTAAGGTTTGGTCCACCATATATGAAGCCAAACAATTCTAGCTAGGCTTTTTACCATCATTCGACAAAAGATAAGTCCAACTTCTCGCCCCATCCTCTTCGATACTCGAATTGAAGACAGCCAAATCGAGATGGAATGCGATATGAAAATGAGACCTGAAGAAATATTCTACTCTCTTCTCTTCATTGATTGGGTTGGTGCTGGAGTGGGGCTGCATATATGGGTTTATGCATGTGATTGGCCTCACACAAATCTGGTTTACAAAACTTTAATATCATTATTTTTTAAAATAAATCTATTTCCACTACTACTAGCTTTAATTTGGAATATAATTTTTATTCTTTTAATTTTCATTCCACAAATTGTTGTTGGACATCGACCGGGTTGGTCGGGTTCAGCCCATGTTCAACTCGAAATGTAGCGTTGTGACATACCATAAAAGGATGTGATTAAATGGTTAATGTCTATCAGATAGTTAAAGAATTCTGTGGTTAAGCGTGCTTGACTTACAGCAGTCACAAGAGAGAAGTAAGCATAATACAATGCTGAGATCCATCATAAACAACAATTTTAAGGGTTAAATTCCAATCTCTCAAGCAACATTAGGTATACACCAAGTAAAAGCTTAATTCAATTTATAGCACCATCCTGAAATAAGTCATTTGAAGTTGTAATTACCTGAAAGGAGATATTTTTGTCTTAATACATACAAAAATTCAAATCAACAGTTGTCACTTGCACACAGAATTCTTTGTCTAACAAACAGATATATATATATATATATATATATATATATATATATATATAATCTTGAATTCTTGATGTGAGTATATGCTGAAATGCAGTGCCCATATTCAACAAATCTGAGTTTGAGAAGTCAATTATGGGCAGTTAAATAATGTTACCTTCTGGCTTCCATATGTGAAGGAGCCGGTCATAGAACGAGCATGTAGCTATAGCCGTATTCTTCCCTTTTCCTTCCCCTCTTTGCCAGTCTGCTCCGTATGCAAGCGATGTGTGTTTCTTGTATGTTTCAATTACTTCGGGTTCATCCCCTTTTACATTAACAACTGCAAAACCGTTGTGCATACAAGCTGTCAAGACTATGCGAGGTACAACGGGATGATACTTGATTCTCCAAACTCCACCGTGTAAGGATATTGATCTCTCGTTTACAGGTCTCGATATTGATCTCACATCCCATATCCTTAGATGTTCATCGTAGCTACCCGTGAGTAAGGTATTAGGATCGCTTGGGTTTTTCGTGATGCAACAGACGCCCATCGTGTGCACTTTCGTATTCTGGAACACCAACTTAGACGGATCATCTCGCGAATCCCAGCAACTGAATTTGCAGTCATCTGAGCCGGTGTACACAAGTTGTGGTTGATGAATGTCAAAGGTGGCGGCCCAAACTTCAAAGTCGTGTGCTTTCCATTCTTGGGTTCTTAGTTGAGACTCGTGTAGTGAAAGTATCGAGACTGAACCATCTGATAGGCCCACTGCGATGGATGAAGCCGAAGGGTTCCAGTCTAAGCACAAGCACATAGAGGAACTGATATGATCATGAGAGATCTCTTGCAGATGATTCCCTGCAAGAATTGGATTTTCTTTACATATATTTTCATGGAAGCACTTTGTTTTTTGAAAACAAATGGACATTTTCTAAACAATATAGTTATAGTACATAAAAATTGCAGGATTCATATAACTAAAAAACGAAAACTTTTCACAATACTTGAAATAATAAAAAAGGAAAGGAGAACTATGGTTTTTACAATCACTTAGGACGGTGTAGCACTACTGCTCATCTTTATGTAGGTGCCAACTCTACTAATTTCATCAGCAAAAAGAGAATACAAAACACGAATTAGAGAGTTCTTGCATAGTGAGCATACACTGGGAAGAATCAGGAAGCATACCGTTGAAAATTTAGTGTGCTTGCAACTCAATTCAAATCCCCACCCAAAAAGAGGACCCATAATTAAACACAGGAAAAATGGAGGAAGCCATGAATCTATTCACAAAAATTCACCAATCACTCATTCAAAAAATTCCAAACAAGACTTACCAAATTGCTAATCATCAATACAGATGCTTGCACATTCTTGATTTTCATTACATGAAACTGACATTATTAGATTGCTAATGTTAGGAACTTTCTTGTTTCATTTCAACTTCCTTTAGAATGGTTGCTATTTAACATCATACTCTAGCAGTCATAAGAAGTCTCACAAGTCTAGACCTCTCTTAAGAAATCTCACAGCTTTAATGGCTACTTCAAAAGTCAATCTCATCAATGCATTTATTAACTTATTTAGCAGATAACACAACAGTTTCCATGAATCCAGAATATATCATTGTTTTAAATGTTTTTTCTCAACATGAATGCATGACAATTACTAGAAAATCAATGCTATTGCTATGTTTATTTTTTTTGATACACTAACTAATCCTAAGCCCCCAGAACCCCTGTTCAAGAGTCCTGGAGGAGATAAATCGCGAGTCGCCCAATCAGTCAATGTCGTTCTTTGCTCACAAGGGATCCATATCCACACTTCCACCAACTCGGGGAATGCTAAACCATTGATCCATTGTTCTGTTTACTGAATTTAGTTTGACAATTAAATTTAAGAACACTATAATATTAAAAATTACTCTCTTTTATCCTCTACCTCCAACCCTCTATTGGCCAGGATACAAGTTAAAAATTGATTACTTCAATCAAATATATTTCACAAGTAATAATCATGAGAAGAGAAACCGAAGCATACCTTGGACCTCTGATTCGTCAGAAGAACTTTCAAGCCTGTGAATTCGCACATAACCTTCAGCATCAGCTTGAGCAAGCAAAGGGCCTACAGGGCTCCACTTTATATCGAAAATACCCGGTGTTTCCACTCTGTGCAATAACTCGAGACGACCCTCTTCAGCGTTGACATCAAAGAGGGATATGCTACCGGAACGACTCGGATTATCTCCCTCCTGCAGCGTGTACGTGGAGGCCGCCAAGACATGGTGGAAAGACTCGTGTGGACAGAATTCTACTGCATCCGCATTGCCGTCAAGATAGCAGTGTGCGGCTTCCATGCCTGAAATCAAGAGACGTGAGAATATGAATAGGCAGGACTTTAAACTCAGTTGGACAATTCGTCGAATAGGTTTTGGTCTTCTGGACCTTAATTCAGAACTTAGCTCCGAAACGTCAAAAATAGGGGTGAGCAAACGGTCAGTCGGTTAACCGACCACCGAAAAACTAAAAAACCGATGGCAATTTTTTACTATCCTAACCGACCGTCGGTTACCGAAAAACCGAACACTTAATGAATACATAATTGATACTAGTTGAGACAAACACAGTAACATAAATACATAATGTCCAAAATTTACAAACTTGAAACTCCAAAATAAATTTTCTCAAACACAATGATAAATCACAATATAATGTATGAAATACTCAAGAATTAATTCCAACAGCCTGTACATATTTGAAAATAATTTTCTAGAATTAACTATACAGTACAACTTGTAATCTTCTCAATTCTGTACTGTACAATTAATCAAATACTTCATAATTAATTTTCAAACACTATGAGAATTGGAATTATAATTTTAATGGCACCATATAAAATAGAATGTATGAAATATTGAAATCCCTTCTAATTTTAATATGTAAAAAAAAAAATTACATTGAGAGTTCGAGTTATAGCGAGAGTGAAGCAGAGTCGCTGAGGATGTGAAGACTGAGGTGTGAGGGAGTGACCGTGGAGTCGCGGACTGCCTGACCGAGTCACCGGAGTGTCGCCGACTCGCCGAGGTTGGAGGCCGGAGGGCGTGAGGCGCAGATGACCTTCGTCGCGGTAGCGTCGTCTGTGAGCTGTGGCTATGGAACTATAGTCCGTGGAAGACGAAGCGTGGCTGTGTGGAGTGTGGAGTGTGGAGTGTGGAGTGCGGAGAGTCTAGACATGGAGCGGAGAAGCCGAGAAGCAGGGCAAATTATATTATCCACCGCGGTGCATAATGGATTATGCACCGCGCGTCTTTTTTTTTAAATGAAAATAAATCGTGTTAGTTTCCGTCGTTTGGCACTCTTTTGCAAAAAGTAACTCTGTTATTCAGTGTCATTTTGTATACACTGTAGTTTCAGTTCAACACAACTACAGTTTCATTTCGATATAACTATAGCTACTTTAGACGTGGGAGGCTGTGTATTTGCTAGCTTCCAATTGGTCCAGTATGTAATTGATCTCCGTAGCAGCACATTCATATCAATATTGTGGATGACTCACATTGATTAGGTTTACTGTTCTGTTTTGGTCATTTTATTCTTCTGTAATGTCTCCTTTTGAATATGTGTTATTAGTCTCTTTCCTACTATTAGTTCTGTTGTATCTTTGGTATTTAGTTGTTAAACTCTTGTATAAATAGTTTCATTATTTTGTTAATAATTATAAACACAGCAGATTACTTCTCTATATGGTATCAAGAGCCATTTTTTTCTCCACTGAAATTACATGATCCTTCTCTTCTTCCTTCACACACCAATTTCTCAAATGACCACCACAACTCTCATTCCTACTGTTATCCATTTGAATGCTCTCACTCATTTTTCCCATCCGGTTAACCGAGTCAAATTTTCTAGTATGGCAGTGCCATGTAAAATCAACACTAATTGGTCATTATCTTTGTGGATACATTGACGGAACAACAAAAACACCAACCAAATTTTCTAATACGACAAACACCATCCCTACTCTAGAATACACTGCGTGGTATAGACAGGATCAAATCATAGTTGGTGTTCTCTTAGGAAGTTGCTCGGAGACCATTCAACCTCTAATCTCCTCAGTTGAAACTGCTTCTGAAGCTTGGTCACGGCTCTCGACTAGCTATGCTAGTGACTCACATGGACGTATTATCTATCTCAAATCCAAGTTAACCAACAATCCAAAAGGAAATAGAACCATTGCAGAATATTTAAGTGACATGCGCAAGATTTCGGATGCCTTAGCAGCTGCTCAAAGCCCAGTCAGTGAGAATGATCTTATTACTTATGTTCTCAACCAGTTAGGAGATGATTATGGGTCTATTGTTCCAGCCATCAGAGTGCAAAAGTCAGGACTTACCTATGGTGATCTCAACAACATTCTTTCTGATCATGAACGTGCGCTTAAGCAATTCGAAGAGCAACGTCAATCATTGTTGGTGGCTGCTAATGTCACACAAAAGCATAATTCATCAACCTACAACCGTGATGCCATGCAAAATAATCGTGATACATCGCAAAATCGTGGTCAAGGGAATTACAGATACAAGCGTGGAAATGGAAACAGATCCAATAATGGAGGTTATCGCCAAAATTTAATTTGTTGCTTTTGTAATTTTCAGGGCCATGAAACTAAATTCTGTAGGAAGCTTGCGAGATTCCTTCGTGACCACAATGTGTTCGAGGCTCCTCAATCTCAAACTTATGCCTCGGGACCTTCTATCAATTCTTCTGTAAGTGGTACGCCACCAACTCAGTAATGAATTTTTGATAGCGGAGCATCTCACCATGCAACAACTAGTCCTATGTCGTTGCCGACCTTCTTTGAGTACGGTGGACCTGACCAAGTGAACCTCGGTGATGGTAATTCTTTATCTATAACTCATATTGGTAGCACAATTTTACCCACTCCTTCTAGAGATCTTTCCCTTACCAATATTCTTTGTGTTCCAAAGTTACGTCGTAATCTAGTTTCGGTTGCCAAACTCTGTCAAATTAATAATGTTTCGGTTGAATTATTTCCATGTTCTTTTCGTGTCAAGGATCTTCACACGGGGGTGTGCCTAACGCAGGGAAAGAATATCAATGATGTTTACATCTCAGGACTGTTGCCTTCGCCTCAACTTCATCTTACCACCAAGTCTGATATTTCTGAGTGGCATCACCGTTTAGGCCACCCTTCCAATAAAACACTTGAGTATATTTTTAGATCAAATAATTTGAGTATTAAGCAGTCTAATTTTTGTAGTTTTAGTTGTGATTCATGTAGCTGTCACAAAAGTCATAAACTACCATTTTCTGAGAATTCCCTAAAAAGTTTCAAGCCACTTGAATTAATTTACACAGACGTCTGGAGTACGAAAGATGTTTCAGTAAATAGCTATTCATATTATGTCATATTTGTTGACTATTTTACGAAGTATATATGGTTGTATCCGCTCACATTGGTTAAGTTTACTGTTCTATTTTGGTCATTCTATTCTTCCGTAATACCTCCTTTTGAATAGGTGTTATTAGTCTCTTTCCTACTATTAGTTCTGCTGTATATTTGGTATTTAGTTGTTAAACTCTTGTATAAATAGTTTCATTATTTTTTTAATAAACACAACAAATTAATTCTCTATAATCCTAAGAGGAGCAGACGGCAAGTGGATGGGAGGCTTTTATGGTAGATCAAATTACGAAGACATTGCTGTAGTTGAAGCGGAAGCCATCGCGAAGGGCCTTGCCTGGGCATGGCAAATTGGCATTAGGGAGGTTCAAATCCAATCAGATGCCAAGAGGGTAATCCAGTGGATCACGAACGGCTCTACGTTAAGAGGACCAATTGGTGCGCACATTGAAGAAGTTAGACAATGGCTCAAGAGCAACTGGAAAGCGAACATCCGGACTGTATTCCGGGAGCAGAATGAGAGTGCGGATACTGCTGCTTCTCTTGGAATCATGATGAATGTGGAATGGAAAGAGTTTGAGAGGTGCCCTCCTGGTATGGAAGAGATAGTCGATCCCGAATGCATGCATGCAATTTGGTCGCGCAGTGGGAGTCATTAGCACTCCTGGGTCCCCCCCTCCACTTTGATCGAAAAAAAAGGTAGCCCTTTCCAAACATAGTCATTCCTAGAGCACCAAACACCCCAACATACCATGATGAATTTAGAAAGCATTTCACCATTCAATATTTTTATATAACCAAAATGTCATTCAATCACATTGTTATCGTATACTGGAAAAGTAAATTCCACACTTTCACCACCTCAGAACATTAAGCAAATATATGACATGTTGTTTATCCTCCCTCCCACATGTGGCAAATCAATGAACAAGGAATATGTTTGGAGATAAGTGTGTAGCACCCCACAAATATAAACAAAGTACTACGCATTTAACTTGGCGAGAATAGGTAAATGAAGACTTATAAAACTGCGAAAGCAATAAAGTCTAAGTCAGGGTGTTATGCCACACTTAGATTTACTAGTCTAATGTGTACATGCCAAAACTAAAACAAATCCAAAACATAGTACTAATATCAAAGGGTTTAACTACATCCCATCAAAACATCAAAGCATAGCTAACTAATCTAGGAGGCTACTCATCCAACTAAGCGCGCTCGAGAGGGTTCTTTACTCCATACCTGAAATCATTTTTAAATAGATTAGCGATAATGCTAAGTAACCCCACTCTAATGTGTAAAGATACGTATACATATACATTTTTATACTTTGAAATAGTTTTGAGACTTGGGAATACATAAGTATATCTCTAATCAACTCTAATTCAGTAAATCACAAGGAATGGAATCAAGACCAAACCATACAAGAGATATACTCAACAATACCACATCATACCACAAGGACATCAATAAAGACCAACTCAATCGAGACAACGATAACGAATCGAGTTCAAAAGGAAGGATAGAGCAATCATAGTAATCAGGCATGAATCAATTCTCAATGTAATCACACAATCAACAATAGTTTAGGGTTTCAAGTCCACAAGGGACACAATCAACAATCATACACCGCGGAGTCAACCTCAATGACTCGATACCAAAGTGGATCAGTGTGGAGGGCTCAACAAACAAATACCGCGGGGTCAAAAGACCAGATAGAGATGCGCGGGGTCAAAGACCCGGTTACACTTTTCGTGAGATCAAAGACCCGATTAAACTTTTCGCAGGGTCAAGGACCCGATTAAACTTTCCACAGGGTCAAAAGACCCGATTCAACTTTCCGCGGGGTCAAAAGACGTGATTCATATAAAATAACCATAATCTCGAATCCCAGTAAGGAATCCCCACAATGTCCACCGTACCAGCTCAATCATCACAACAAGGGTCAAATACACAAGGAATCTTAAGATACAAAACAAGGAATAGATTCCACAAGAAATGTATACAACCACGAATAAGCTCAATAATAGCTCAAATCAAGGAATTCTTAAGGATATGATACAACAAAGGTACAAAGCTCACAACGACAATTCAATGTCAATGGATATCAAGAAAGAGATACAAGAAAGGTATTCCAAAGGCAATAGCTCGATATCAAAGATTACAACGAAATGCCACAACGAATAGATAGGCCCAAGTTATCAACTAAATCAAGAATCAAGCAAAGACTATTGTAAGGAATCATACTAGCATCAAGGAACAACATTACTAGTACACAAGCCAAAGAATAATCACAAGGGTTCATATGAACATCATAGACTTCATTAATAATCCAACAAATATCAATATTGGATCTTAACCACGATTCAAGACTCACAACCTAACCATAGGGTTCATAATACACCGCTCTAGACTTACGTAACATCAATAAATACTCGGAAATACACGGGAGACAACAAGTCAAGAAGCCAAACAAAACCTGTAACACCCCTAAATTTTAAAACTTTCAAAACTTATAATAGGAAGGTATTTCTATTATTAAATCCCAAAACAGAGCATACTAAACATAAGAGTTTGAGGTGCTATGCCACATCTGAGCTGGAGGACTCAGATGCACAGGCTATACTAACTAAATATCCTCAAAGCAATGTCAATACATCATCATAGCACGCAGGCCGAAAGGAAAACTATCTATCTAAGCCTCGGTCCTCTAGCGCGCTCCGGAGTTACTCATCTGTACCTGAAAGCCAAATATATCTGTTCAGCGAATAATGCTGGTAACCCACTCCAACGCGTTAAAATACAATATATATATATATATATATATATATATATATATATATATATATATATATATATATATATATATATATATATATATATATATATTGGTTCCTGTGAGGTCAGGTGTTCCCGTGCGGTCAGTGCAGCATACACCATTAGGTATGCATAAATGCATCATACAGTGTTCGAAAATACACCAGAATGAAATGTCAAATAATGCACCACACACAAAAAAAAAATACACTACACATATAGTGTATTTACGAACACTGTGTGGTGCATTTATGCATACCTAATGGTGTATGCCGCACTGACCGCACGGGAAGACCTGACTTCACAGGAACCTGACCCTATATATATATATATATATATATATATATATATATATATATATATATATATATATATATATATATATAAACCATTTTGAAGCCGGAAGATATATACTTAGGAGACTCTAGCTTTTAAAACCAGGAATAGACTCGACAAGTTGTCCTAAGGTCACAAGCTTATTTCACATCATTCATATCATCATATCATCATTCAATCATTATCTTATCACATAAGCACACTTTGGTGGCGCCACAGGACCAATCGCATGCCCATACATGAGGGTCAGCGCATATAGCGCTAACACGGCCCTGCAGCACCCTGCCTCGTACTGCAGCATGAAGGGGTTGACCGCAGCCAACCGATGAACCGCAGCTCATCATAACGTTTGACCGCAGCCAAACGGTGGACCGCAGCCCAAAAGTGTATTTCTGATCGTAACCAGATTATGAACCGCAGCTCATGTAAAACGTTTGATCGCAACCAAACGGTGGACCGCAACCCAAAAGTGTATTTTCTGATCGCAACCAGATTATGAACCGCAGCTCATGTATAGCCAATTTGATCGCAACCAAATTGGGGTATCATGCACACATAACACATAGCAAGCACATGCAACCCACATTAACACATTGGGAAAGGGGAGAAAACGTATAATGAAACCTGTGCATGGTCATCCACATACTAGGAATAATCCTAAGGGGTTCATACTTCTTTCACCTAGGCCAATGGGGTACCAGTTCAACTAGCATGCAATATACAAGACCCTTTTATCCTAAGAACGGCACCCAAAACATCAAACTAGACTTAGGCACGATAAACGGAGTCCGTTGGGATACCACGAGGGTCGGGGAAACCACCATCCCAAATTGGGAAATTCCAGCGGGTGGCCGGCGGGTGGAGGACCACCCGCCGGCGGCGATATGCTGTGCAGCGGGTGCCCGGCGGGCAGTCGGCTGCCCGCTGCCGGAAACGCCCTTAGGGGCAGCGGGTAGGTGGCGGGTTCCCCTACCCCCACCTACCCCCCACTAACTCTTTTTCCATATAATGGTCCCCGGATCTTTCGTGGAATCCGAAACAATGTTTAGACACTTTTAAACATAAACGATGACACCACGTAGTCAAATAATGGATCAAAACTAAGAATCATATTGAACATATCCTACATGACTTCTAAACATAATTAACACCCGAACATGCGAAGTCCCACCCAAATATATCAAGAATATCACAATACGAAATTCCCAATTTTAACCTAGGGCTCTAATCATATTTAAATCATCAAAATCATAGTTTTATCTTTAAAATCAAGAATATCACACAATTATCAAGATCCTCTTATAATCATCAAGATTATCAAGATCAACACATAAGATCATCTCATCAATCATCAAGATCATATCATCATCATCATAAAAGATTTATCAAGACACAAGCATAGAGAATGAGCCAAAGAAAAAGATTATAGCAAAGAAAATAGGTTTTGTTGAGACATGAGTTACCTCTTAGCCTTAATTAATCCTCCCTTGGCTATTAAGGTTCTTCTCTAAGATTTCCATCCGATCGATCTCCCTAGGCTTGGTGGTGGGGAATCTCCCAGGAATATTTTCGTGTAATATAACTATGGGTGGTAAGGGTTCTAATTGCTTTCTAATCCCCTATTTGTAGAATCAGGAATCCTAATCATAACCTGAATAATAAAGGCCTACTTTCCTAATAGATATATAGGTCTAGGATTCCTAATTAGAATCTGATTAGTAAAAGGTTTACTCTCTTTATTCCTAATAGGCTTAAGACTCTAGTTTAGGCAAGGGTCCACAATCCATGGTGGACGATATTAATTAATTAAAGAGAATCCGAACCAAATTAAATTCTTTTTAATTATTATTAACGGAATTAATTAAATAATTAATCCGAGATTGAAGGCCGTAACACGGGTTGTTACAAAACCGTACTAGTGGGCGGTTCGGACAGGTACAAAAGGTCCCGCCGAAACTCCATGGCGTACCAGTGGGTGGTTCCGGAAAGACCCAAAACACCCACCAGAACCCCCTTTGTGAACAACGTAACCAGCGGGTGGTTTCGGCGGGTGTGCCACCGCCCGCTCGAAACCCCCGCTGGAACATAATCTAAAGCGAAATTTTAATCGGGAAAAATGCCAAGAATGTGCAATCCAAGTCCAAACTCAACAACGCTCATACCAACAACCAATATGACTTCGAATAGAAGAAATGACACATCAAACACAAGTATTCACCTAAGATACAAGCTCTAAAATAAGCATAAACACAAGAATATGCTCACATACCACAAGATCATCATGAATACACATTGTATAGTTTAAATAGGTTTTCATGGACATAGAGTTACCTCTTAGCAAAGCAAAAACCTCAAACCTCCTCCAAGATCACTCTAGCATGTCATCCTCAACATGATCTTCATCATAGACCCCAAACCCAACACATAAAAGAATATAACTTAGATAAGATAAAGAAAAAACCTTAAATAAAAGCTATAGATAGCTATGTCTTACCCTTCCTAAGATTGG